AGCAGTAGTAGTGGTGGTTGTAGTAGTAGTAGTAGTAGTAGTAGTAGTAGTAGTAGTAGTTAGTAGCAATAAATAGAAGCAGTACTGACGGCAGCAGTAGCAGCTGCAGCATGATGCTGTAGCTGCTGCAATGGCTGTTGCTGGTCTGCTGCTGTTGCTGTTGTTGCTGCTGTTGCTGCTGTTGTGTCGTCCTCGTCGAACTCGACGATGCGTACGACGACATCCACCGTCAACGTGGCAGTACTCATGGTCATGCAGATGGTCCCAGCAAAACAGCAGTGGCAATGGTATTTTACCTGTGTAGGGGTACGGAGCCGGCTCACACCTCAAAGCACTCACCACCCCGAGCCTTTCACCCAGTCTTTCAAGCCAACTTGAATGTGAAAACATCATTGGCCGACACTGGTGTGCGCCACATACGAACCTATGTGTTGTACAAACCAGGTAGAATATGAACAAACCGTGGTCTGTAGCACCTGAAGCACGGCAGCTAGAAAAACCGATCTACTAGAAAACAACAGCTCCTAACCAAGCAGCAGTCATGCTCATTCCCAGCGCCATGATCCTCACGGTGCAGGTTTCCGGGATTGGTACGAACTTAATGCTCGCGCATTGAGTTTTAACAAAACAGCTGGGTATTCATTATTGCTGTGGCGGCGATCTTGGATTTTCATGCTAAGGATGATGGTCGTTTCAATTGAGCAGCTGCTACAAGGCCATCATCTAGAATCCAGCCCCTGGTCGCTCGGCAGCATGCGACTCCTTACACTAATTCATGTGGTTGAGTACACAAGCCCAGCTAGTGCACTCCGAGGCGCGGGACCAAAGACGGTGCGCACCAACCCACCCAATCTTCACAGGCTGCAAACTGCGTCAGAAACGTTCAGACATGGGCTGCGTCAATTCATATTGCTTGGGGCTTTGGGTGCGAAGTGTAAGGGCCCAGACATTCCAGCCAAGTAGAGCTAGTTGACCACCCTAAACCCCAAACCCTAAACCCTTAGGCCCCTACCCTAAGACCGGACAGCATCATGCAAAGCCATCTGATGTTGCACTCTTTGCTACTCACAGAGACGGGATGGCAAGTCTTTCAGCACAACTCTGCTGAGACTTTGCTGCCGCAGCAAAGGGTTCTATCGAATATTTCTAATTTCTATAATTATGTATTTAAATTACCCTGATAACATAAATATAATATAGATAATCATCTATTCTCTATTGAGATATTCGGTCCAATGAGAAAAAATATTCAATAATTTGTATAACCCTAATATATTAACACCCTATTGAAATTAATTATTCCGCCCTGTAGATATTCTTCATGCTATTCCAGACGCCGGAACCCACCTATCTTATCCAATCTCGCAACAACAGCGTAACGTCTGGTGCAAGGTTTTGACAAATATATTGCCAGGGCTGGTAGGGGAAAGGAGATTAGAATGAACCAATGGCCTTTTTTGGACAAGCCACTAAAAATAGGCTTAGGCGATAAAGCAGGTGTTCAATGATGCCCATCCCGTCAGGGTGCTTTTTTTCACGACAGCCTGTCCAAACTTCGTGAAGTATTTTCACGAGGATTGTAAGCTGCAGCGCTGAAGCAGGCCCTAAACCCTAAACCCTAGGTGCCGGACACCGCCAGAGCGTTGTGGAGGTTGTGGGGCTTGTTTAGGGCTTCGGTTCAGGGCCATAGGCTTTGGAAACCTCTGTCGATAAACTTAAGCACCAAAACCCCGAAAATGCTTTGGAGCATGAGGGATTGGAGCTGCATGGACACACAAACGGCAGACCTCCCTGATGCCTAAAGTTAAGGAGCCTCAACCCCAAAACCGCCCACACTAGACCCTTAAAATAAACCTAAAACCCTGAACCCCAAGCTGACGTACGATAGAGTGAAGCAACAAAGCCCCCTAAATCCCAAAACCATGAACCCTAAATCCTAAACCCTAAACTCCTAACCCTACTAAACCCTTTCCTGTCTTCAGTTGTTGCGTGAATCCCCGGCCCCTTCGGGGGTGGAGAAAGGTACATCAATGCTGGCCTACTGCGTGCGGTGGAGGACATGTCAACTAGGGTGTGGGGGTTTCGGATTATTTAGGGTTTAGGGTTTAGGGGCATCTATCGTTTTCTGGGGCTTTCTCCGGACGTAAAGAGCTTTTTTTATCAGAGTCTTGTGGGGGTCTTCCGGTGGTCAATGGCCGAAAGAAACCCATAAACCCTAAACCCTAGACCCCAAACCCTGAACCCCTAAACCCCTAAACCCCTAAACCCCTAAACCCCTAAACCCATAATCCCTAGACCAGAACCTCATCCCATAACTCCGAAGGCCAGGGACGGGTTCCGAGCACCTTCAAGCAACCCCGTGATTCTAATTTATTGGGGTTTAGGGTTTAGGGTGTTGGGTAAGTTATTGGGGTTTGGGGTTTAGGGTATTGGGTAATATAGGGGTCTTAATAATTACCTATACTATTTTTTTTTTTTTTTTGGGGNNCCCTATTCCAATTGTTAAGGCCCCTCTATTACTGGGTTTTAGGATGGGGTGAAGTGTGTAGGGCGTAGGGATTTGCGTAAGATTAGGCAACTGTCTCCAGGGGATACCACATACTTGCACGCCTTCGTTAACATTTTTCACAAGTTTCTCCACACTGTTTGCCGCAATTTCCATGCTACTTCAACAGCTGTCCAAAGTTTGTGTGCAGGTGCTTTCTCAACATTGCGGATTATGGTACAGAAAATCACGCGAAACAAGTTGAGGAACAACAGCGGGGCACCCTGCAGGAGAACATGTGGAACACGGGGCGGAAAACTGCTAAGCAAGTTGTGGAAACTCTGAAGTTTGCAGAATCATGTCCCACTGCAAAGAAGCGCACGGGTGTTTCCCGTGAACGGAACGGCTTTGAACAAATGTCTCCGTTCTCGGCCATGAAGAAAGGCTCCTTAATTAATATGATCATTATCAATAATACGGTTGATGATATAAATCGGCATTACCCATAGGGTCCGTAGGGTGATGCAGGGATTTATATCAAAAACAGCATTATTCCATCCATCAAGAACTACTGCTCCCTCACGTTCTTGCAGAATATACCTAGTTAAGTTCTTTTTATGATGTACAATGCTATTCCTTCTGGTTCCTTGATCTAATTAGCAGCATGGGACGCCCCCGAAAGCTTCTGGAAAGCCTGGAACCCCCAATCCCTACAGCCTTAATTGAGCTCTAAGCGTTCTGAGCGCTCCATGCCCCGACATGGCCTTACATCTTCAAGACCTGAAAGATTGTGAAAGTCCCCCACCGCATCAGAAGTTACAAATTCCAGGAGCTACGAACAAGCTCCACGAAGATCTGGTCATCTGCCACGGCCAGGGAGACCTAGAGGACGACAGTCCCGAATTTCCAGTTTAGGCTTTGAGGCAGGGTTCTGTGAGGGTTCATTTCGAGTTTAGGCTTTGGGGCAGGGTTCTGTGAGGGTTCATTTCCAGTTTAGGCTTTGGGGCAGGGTTCTGTGAGGGTTCTCAATGTACATTTACACAACCGGCTTTGCATCTGTTAATTTCCTTTCTGCAGCCTGTAGTTGACTCCCGAAGTCCAAAGTTATGTAAGGGTACGGGCTATTCGGTGAGGTCATGTATTACTAAGTCCTCCGACCCCTGTGGCTATTAGCTACCTCTGCCATCCTTCACCCCAACATCGCCACTGTTCCTACGCCCTCGCCCGCCCCGAAATCACTCAACCCTAAACCCTAAACCCTAAACCCTAAACCCTGCAGAGACCACGGTCCTCTGCCAGGTGCCCGGCATCGTCGTAGTAGGCCCGAAAGGCCTCCCAAGTGATGCGCCCCTCCGGGTGATCCTGGGAAGCAACCATTTAGGATTTAGGGTTTAGGGTTTAGGGGTTTAGGGGTTTAGGGTTTAGGGGTTAGGGGTTTAGGGGTTTAGGGTTTAGGGTTTAGGGTTTAGGGTCTAGGGAATTGATGAGGATCACGATCAGCACGACGATGAGACTCTGGATCGTGCGGCTGCTGAATAGGAGGGAGATTGTGATGATGTTGTTGATGTTGTTGATGACGACGATGCTCTTGTCGTTGATGACGCTGACGGAGGTGACGGTGCCAGTGTTGTTTATAACACTGGCTGCTGATGACGAGCGTTGCGAGCATGCCCTGGCGATCACGATGATGAGGGGACTATTTATAAGTATGGTGATGGTGAAACTGATGATGCAGGTGGTGAAGAAGATGGACTCCGGAAAGATCACGGTCTTTGATGCATGGTATTGGTGCTAGCCCTACCCCTCCTTAGCGTTGTATCTAGCATTACCTGCTTCTGCTATCGCCTTGGTGTGTACCTTGTTGACTTTGCAAAACCGTGCGAGATTGACAGGCGCGGCGTATGTGCATCGATTGCCAGCTTAATGATCGATGGCCAAGGTTCGACACGACCCCTTTAGGGTTTAAGGTTCAGGACACCAGTTATGTGTCAATCGAGTATCTTACCCGAAAAGCCCCGAACATGCACTCGACCTTGCTTCCTGAAAGTTGTGGAGAATATGGAAGAAGGCGAGTCCGTGGCTAGATTGTTGGTAGACCCGGTACCTCTAAGCCGTAAGCAGCTCTACCCGTCTACCCTGCCCCCAGACCAAAACCTCGAAACTCTAAGTCTAAGTAGTTACATCCGAGCCGTCTTGGACACTAAAGCCTAGTTGGAGGCCCCTTTGACTTAGTAAGTCTACTTAGTATCCCCTAGAAACCCTCTTATAATCCCCATAACCCACCTTACTAACCCTACTTACTAAGTCGAAAGGGCCTCCAAGTAGTAGTCTAGACTTTTGCACACCTGAAGTGCCCTGCCCCAAGTCGGTGCAGTCAAATCTCGAGCTCCCACTGGCGAAAGAACTCCTGGCTGTGCTCCAGAGAAAACTCTACGGTTGAACCCATGCGCCCCTAGTATGGGCCCTAAACCCTGGGAGCCTTTTTTTACCTCCTATATACCCTATATGTACCCGTAAGGGACCCTAGAACCCCCCTAAGGGTCCATATCAGAGGCCCATACTTCTAACCTTGGAAAGACAGACACCGCAGTAGTTTTAGCCTTAAGCTGGTTTGAGCTTTTTGTGTTTCTGAAGCCGTGGTGAGCAGTACAGTTTTGGGTTTGGGGGCTTGAGGATTTAGGGCCCCTAAAGGGTTTAGGGTTTAGGGTTTGTGAAGGGATGCAGGATGGAAGGTTGTGTTGTGTCTTTCATTCTAGTCCAGGGCTCGTCCACCCCAGCTACCCTTTGCCGCAGGACCAGGCTTCATCCGGACTTGGGTTTAGGATGGTTTAGGGTTTAGGGTTACTATAGGGTTTATGGATTAGGATTTAGGGTTCAGAGTGCGTATATAGTCTGCGTGCGGTGGGTGCGCTTCTTCACCCACTTATCGCGCGCTTTCGTTGCGTCAGCACTCGCGGCCTGTGCCGGCCGCTCGACAGGCAGCAAGAGTTTCCGACAAACAACCCCCCCATCGCGCCCTGCGAAGGTCGCTCGAAGTGTAAACATCTACGCCTCAGCGGTTTGTGGGACAGAATCTGTTAAAGTAGAGGCCTTAATAATTAGAATAGGGATTTGGGGCCCATTATACTATAAGTATAATAAGGAACCCCCAAAATAGTATTGGTAATTATTGAGGCCCCTAGATTATTTTTTGTTGGCACAGGTCGAAGGGAGTAAAGCAGAATACGTAGAGGAAGCCCTCAACCCGAAACTTAAAACGCGCCAAACCCTAAGCATGCTAAGCATGCGGTTAAACCCCTCAACCCTGAAACCTGAACATTCTGAACTGCTAAATCGCTGAGTCTACTACCTGAACATGCCAAATGACAAAGCCCCGTTTAAGTCCCTAAACACCCTGAAGCTCTCAACCGCTGAATCTTGAAGCCCTGTTGACGGGGGGCAGCACCTCTCGCGCCTCCTCGATGGACATGGAGCCATCCTGAACCTTTTGGCCAGTGTTCTTCTGTGCAAGGACTTGTGCCAGGTAGTAGTAGTAGTAGTAGTAGTAGTAGTAGTAGTAGTAGTAGTAGCTACTACTACTACTACTACTACTACTACTACCACCACTACCACTATGGTAAGCTCCACAAAGTTGGAAACCGGATTAAGGTCAACTAGTGCTGGGATTCCCTGTGCATTACTCTTAAGGGTTGAAGCTATTGGGTTTCCAACTTTTTGGGCCTCTACTGTACTGCTACTCCTCCTCCTCCTCCTGATGCTGCTGCTACTGCTACTGCCACTGCCACTGCTACTCTTGCTCCTGCTCTTGCTACTGCTACTACCACTGCGTCCGATGATAGCAGGACCATCGTCGCTCGCAACTGCTATCTGAGCTTGATGCATCCGAGAGTTGCACGTCAAGAACCACTTCTGGAGAGCATAGCTGCCAGTCGCCGGATGCTGGCTCTAATTTAAAGCTACCCAAAACCCGAAGCCCAAAGCCCCAGACCCGTGGCCCGTAACCACAGGGGTGAACGCAGAGAACCCATAACCGACTTTTTTGTAGGTTTCATAAACCCTACTATGGAATGTATAGGGACAACACAAAAAGAGTAGGTTTTGGTAGGTTAAGGGAGGTCTTAATGACTCGTACATCACAGTATCCGCCTGTAGTCCTTCCTTATAGTCCCCCTGAGGCCCACTACAAGTGTACTATCAAAAACCACAAAAACCTATTAGAATTGCTAAGGTCCCCATATTACGAAGCAGCCCCCAAAAACACTGCAAATCTCATCGTCGAAATGCCTAGGACAAAACATCTCAGCCACAAGGCTCAAGCCAAAGAAGGGGCCCATAAGCCCTCACTGCTCAACTTTGCCAACTTCCCAGTCTCTAAAGACAGTCAACGCCTACACAGATTCTGGAGCTGCTTGTAGGGGCCTGTTGAGACCATGGAGTGTGGCTTTCGGGGCTGAGTGGCATCTAAGACGACCCGAAACCCTAACCCTAAAGCCCTAATTTGAAACCCTATGCAATCCCTCAAGGGACCCTTCAAGGAACTCCTAAACCCTAAACCCTAAACCCTAAACTTCTAAAGGGCTTCCTGGGAGTGTCGAATGATCTCCGGATCTGGCCTTGGGGTGCGCCGTGGCACAGAAAAGCTTCCTCAGGAGTCTGTTGGACTTTCAGGATTTCAGGGATTTAAGGGCTTTGGCGGCTTTAAGACTTTAGTTAGGGTTTCAGGGCTCTTCGTTAGGGCATTAGGGCCTTGGTTACGGCTTTAGGGCTTTCAGTTAGGGCTTTAGGGCTTTAGTTAGGGCTTTAGGGCTTGCAGTTAGGCTTTAGGGCTTTTGAAAGTTAGGGTTTCCGGGATTTAATTTGGGTTTTAGAGCTTTTGGGGTGATGTGTTGAACTCGCCTTTCGGATTCAACTTATCGCGTCTCCATGTTCCCTGACGGGTTTAGGGTTTAGGGGTTTAGGGTGGTATATTATACTATAATTACAATAAGGAGCCTCCATAATAGTATTGGTAATTTTTTAAGCCCCTACATTAGTAGGCATTTTGCTTGACGGCCCCTTTCCGATCTGCTGACAGCGGCCCGGTTTCGTAGGGTTTAGGGTTCCCAGCAACAAAACTAACTCGTAATCAGGTTGACGAAGATATTTGGGATATCGGCATGAGAAAAGCGCAATACAGAAACCTGAAGATTGAAGAACTATCAGTATGATTCCGTAAGGATCATGCTATACTGTACCAGAAAACCCTATTCTAACTATGAAGGCCTTTATGGTATCTTGATCCAGGGCTTAAGCCCTGCACCCTCAACCCTATGCTGGGGTGTCATTGTTTAGGCTTTAAGGCGAGATGCCGGGTTTATCGAACACTTCGGAGGCTGCTTATGAGGAGCTGGAAGGAAGACAGAACCTTGGCCAGGCTAAGATGGCTGCTGCAGGTGTGTGATGTCCACCATCTTGGCGATCGCATTGTCCTCCGCAGCTTCGCAGCTGAACCAAAAAGGGGTGCCCGGGCGTTTAGCCATGGTTAGGGTTTAGGGTTTTGGGTTTAGGGTTTAGGATGCCCGGGTGTTTAGCCATGGGGTCAGGGAAGCATCAAAGCTAGTTCTGCCACATTTCGACAGGGCCTGTCACAGAAGACAAGGAGTCCTGCGCCACCAAGCTTGGCACCTCAAGCCCCAAAGCCTGAACCCGAACCCCTAAACCCTAAACCCCAAACCTTAGGTAGGGCAGGAACACTCAAGGTGGACAAATTTAGGGCTGGGGGGTAGGGGTCCCTCCTAAGAACATACCACGACAGAAACCCACATGCCAAGAAATGCCCCGGCCCGGGGCATGGCACGACTGATGGAAATCAGGACTATTCCAGAACAATTTAGGGTTTAGGGTTCAGGGGATTAGCCCTGAACCCCTGAACCCCTAAACCCCTAAACCCTAAACCCTAGACCCGAGACCCGAGGCCCCAAACCCAAAACCCAACACCCTAAGCCTCCCTAGTGCACAACCTAAACCCTAAACCCTAAACCCAACACCCTAAGCAACCAACCCTAAACCCTAAACCCTAAACCTTAAAACCTAGAACCAAAACCCAACAGCCTAAGCCCCCCAACCCTAAACCCTAAACCTTAAAACCCTAAAACCGTAGAACCAAAACCCAACAGCCTAAGCCCCCCTAGTGCAATCGACCTCCAGCTTCTTGAACGCATCCTTCACCGCACTGAGGCGGAAGGGCCGCATGGTGCCACCCATCCTTCAAGTAAGGGTTGCAGTAGCATAAGGGTTTAGGGTTTAGGGTTTACGGTATAGGGTTTAGGGTTTAGGGGATTCTATTGCGGTTACTATCAAGCTTCCAGTGCCTTGCGTGGGCTCCTTTGGGGTCTAGGCCTGCCTAGGCGAACACTACAGGTGCAACCTCTACTCTTCTGGTTGTGACCATAGGGGGCTACCGGCCTCTGATACTGCTGCGGGAAGGAGCTGAGACTCTTTCACGACTGCAGCTGGCCCCTGCAATTCGGGATTTAGGGTTTGGGGTTTCCGTTTTTTGGGGCTAGGTCTGGGGTTTTGCGGTTTAGGGGTTATGTAGCGGATTAGGGTTGTGGGCTTACGCTCAAATAAGGCCCTGGATGAGGCCCCAACCGAATGTGAGCCCTCAACAATGCAACATCCACGCTCAGGCCACCGCACTCTATGCCATAAGCCCCACAGTAGTTCCTGCTTGGGATTACCTCATAAGATCCTAAAAATAAGCCACCAAAAGGAACTACTATGGGGCCTATGGGTACCCTACAGGAATTATCCAAAGTGAGGCTGCAGCTAACATCAGGGACGAGTCTCAACATTTAGACTGCAGGAAATTACTAAGGTCGCATATGGTCGGTTTAGGGTTAGCGTTTAGGGGATTTAAGCTTTGAAAAGGTCTCCGTGTCTCAGTCTCGCACAGTCGGAAGAAGCGCCGGTAGTTCAGGAGCTCTCTCTCACCTCGCAGAAATAAAACCGAACAGGCTTGGGCTTCCTGAGCCTTCCGCAGAACGCCCCGGAACGAAGCCGGTTGGGGTTTAGGGTTTAGGATTTCCGTTTAATAGGGGCCCCAACAGGCTTTCTAAAGGCCTAGAAACCCCGAAACCTCATAAACAGGTCGAAGGGAAGAGACCACGGAGACGTGCCACATGGAGAATCCCGATTCATAGCGACCAAGAGCGACTATCCTGTAAGCTTTGGAGGGATCCGAATTTATTTCAGCTCTCTTAGCCTATTCTTAGCCTCTTCGCCATGGCTTGAGGGGGTACCACGAAAGCCCGAACCATTCTTAGCAAGCCCCTTTCGTAGTTGGTCCAGGCGGCGAGCGCGTGTGAAGATCGTGACCAGTGTCTCACTGGTGCTCCTAAACCCTACAGCCTAAACCCCTAAATCCTAAACCCTAAACCCCTAAATTAGGGTTTAGGGTTTAGGGTTTAGGGGTTTAGAGCTTTAGGGTTTAGGGGTTTAGGGGTTTAGGGTTTAGGGTTTAGGGTAGTTCCTTCCTAGAAACACCCAAACCTTCCAGGTACCTACTATGTAAGGCCTTAGGGCCCTAGGGGCTCTAGTACCCTATATAGTAGGTACGTGGGGGTTAGGGACAGCTTTGAATTGAATGCCGGTGAAGCATTGCAGTTCAATCCGCAAAGGCACTTTGACGGCACCCGGTCCCGGGAGCCTAGACAAAACAGCGGGATGGCATGCCGCTCCGGCATCCAAGGTTCGTGCTCTTTGCTTCGCTGAACTTAGGGCTTGGGGTCGTATAGCTCAGGATCTCAACTGAATCAGGATCTCAACTGAATCTTAAACAGGCGAGCCCCAAGCATCTGCTATGTACATGACTAGCACACTGGGCTGGACCCAAAACCCTGCCTTCGAATCTCAGTCCCAAAACCCGTGTGACCTGAACCACACACCGGAATCCGTAAACCCTAAACCCTCATAGAGGGGCCTTCATAATTAGATTGGGGCTTTGGGTATAGTTGAGAACAAGGACCCATAGTTACCTAGTGAAGTGAATAAAGGAACACTGTTGGTACCTATTCCGGCTTCTAGATTACATCCTCAACCATGCACCCCTAGAGCACCTTGAAAACTCGAGTGCCCTTATCGTAACCCTTACGGTATCCCCGATATGCTAGCTTAAATCCCGACAGCCCCAAACCCTAGACTGTAAACCCTTGCAGCTGCAAACCCTAAACCATTGCACCCTTAACCCCAGACCTCAAACGCTTAACCCTAAATCCGAAACCCTGGACGCCTAAACACCTAAACTCCTAAACCAAGAGCCTTAAAACCCTAAAGCTCTACCTAAACCCTAAACCCTCATAAACCCTAAACCCCTAAAGCTCTAATCCAGGTCTCTCCGACCGTGCCTTCCGGGACATCACCTGGGGATCCCAAAGTCCGCCACGGTTTAGGGGTTTAAGGGTTTAGGCTTAGTATAGGGTGTAGGGGTGCTTACAAGATCAAAAGACGTTGTTGTTGTTGTTGTTGCTGTTGTTGCTGTTGTTGCTGTGTGGTGGTGGTGGTGGTGGTGGTGGTGGTGGTGGTGGTCGCTGCTATCCTGCGTAAATCAGGGCTGCATGGATTCGCATGGCTCTATCTCGACGTTTGAGAGTTCAGATGGCGGTGGTAGACATGGTTATGGTTTTGGAGTTTGGCTTTCGATTCTGAACCCTAAACCCAAAATTTTGCAAGCTTGGGGCTTGGCGGCGCAGCTTTGGGTGTGCGGGTGGCACTGATGCCTCTTGATTTAGGGATTTGGCGGGCAGGCCTCCAACTTTGAGATCTCCGAAGATGTCGCCACAGCCTTGGCAACGCGCTCAGAAGGGTTACGCTTACTTACTGTAAGGTTTACCTTCGGGGAGCTGACAGGGTTTCGGGGGTTAGGCGTGCCAGATTCAGCAGATAAGATGGTTTTTTTTATCAAGGACACAGGCACCTCAGGTTATAGTGGTATCCCCCCTAGCACACTCGGAGGAGCAGTTGAGGGGTTTAGGGTGCAGTGCAGACCCAACCCTACACCCCGAAACCTTAGACCCTAAGCCCTGACCCCTTATCCCTAAACCCTGAACCCTAAAGCCCTAAAGCCCTAAAGCCCTAAAGCCCTAAATCCTAAAGCCTAAAGCCCTAAACCCTGAAACCCTAAAGCCCTAAACCCTGAACCCCTAAACCCAAACCGCAACCCGAAGCCTTCAGTCCGGCACGAAATCAGGTCCGGGCAGCGGAGGCGGAAGCCCAGCAAGCGGCGTCGGAGAGTGTACTTCAGCAGCGCAGGCGGGGTTTGTAGGATTGCAGGTTCGGGGTACAAGGCCTAGAGTTGGGGTTTGAGTTTGAGTCTTTTCAAAAGATCTTCAGTAAACTTCGATGATGTGAAAAGAACCTCAGATGTCGTGCCATGTCGAGCTCCCAAGGCTGCACTACCCTCACATCGCCGCAGTGGACACCACCAGCAGCAGCACCACCATGACCACGACCACGACGACGACGTCGACGACGACCACGACGCGACGACGACCACGCAACGACCCCAAACCACGTGACCACGACCACGTGACCACGACCATGCGACCGCGACCACGACCCACGACCACCACGACGACACGGCAAGGGCGATTGGGAGGAGGAGGAGGAGGAGGAGGAAACTGCTAATTACCATTACTCCTGCTACGTACTGCTACCGCTGCTAGGTTCACAATGCTGCCTGCCAGCACCAAGAACTATATCAGCACTAAAGTTACTGCATGCGAAGAGCACAATGTTGACAAGAACAGATTCAAGATATCGGTGGAAAGCCGTGGGTCGTGCACTCCTAAATCATGGTCTGAATGGTGTTGAGGTGGGTGTCAGCAAAAGGTTAAGCGGTTAAGACCTTTGCCGTTGTCCGTGCTTGTTCGACGGTCATCCTCATCGTTCACCATGATAACAATCTTCGGGCCCTGCGGGTGTCTCATCCACTCGGCGCATGTTGAAAGAGATCTTGCGGGGGGGCTCATTGTTGGGAAATACCCTAAACCCTAAACCTTAAACCCTATAAACCCTATAAGCCCTATAAGGGCCCAAACCCTAAACCATGTTCTTCCTGGCTCCTGAGGATACAGTTTCAGCACTGGCGCCCCTTGGACCGCACCTCTGTCTCATAGGAATGATACAAGTAACAAAAATAATGACGACGATGATATGTACTATAGTTCATACCCATAGTCACTATTGCTATATTGATAATACTGCTAAGGGCTAGTAATACTATGATGTCGCCCTATGGCAGCCTGGAGTCTGAAATCTCGAAGCCGGGGCTCAGTGTCGTGAAACTGAACCCACGTTAAACCCCACACCAGTTGAAGTTCACTGTGAAGCCCTCAACCCGCGATCATCACCGTCGTCATCATCATCATCATCATCATCATTATCATGATCATCATCATCATCAGCATGGCCATCCTGTTCATCATCACCACCACCATCATCATCATCATCATCGGCCTCATCGTCATCATGGTTAATCACAGGTTGTAAGCGATCAGCGCCACCATCGCCGGGGACATCTCGTCTTCACCTTCGCCACCACCGTCTCACCATCACAAATGCTATTATCATCACCGTATGTCACCATCACCATTCCCTTTCGGGGGCAACGGCTTGACATTAAAGGAAACCCCTATGGAAACGAAGCAATGCTTTCAAATGGAAGCAATGGAATTTCGGATTGCATATGCAGGTAAGGCTTGCGAAGCACAACCTGCCGATAGCGAGGGCTGTTCAGGGCTTCAGGTTTAGGGTTTAGGGTTTAGGGGGTGTTCGGGGTGCAGGTTTCAGGGAGAAGCTTGGGATTCGCTAGGGGCTATGCACATGGGCATGACCCACTTTCTCTCTTGAGCTACCGACGTGGATTCGATGTCATGCCTAGACGGTCTTACTAGCGTTGTCAGATTCTTTTGGGCTGTCCGAACATTCGTTTCCAGTAAGTTTTCTGAGGTTAGGCCTCACCATGGTTCCTCATTATAGTTATAATATACCCCCAAACCCTACTTTAATTGTCTGTGATATACACCAAAAACCTACCTTAATTATCTATAATATACCCCAAAACCCTACTTTAAAAATTAAGGCCCCTACAATAGAAATCCAGGCGATTTGCGTGCGACTGACTTCACCGTGAAGACGCAGTGAGAGCTCACGCGGCAGAAGCAGAACGGCGCCTTTAGCAATTCGTGTTCTGGTGTTCCCTGAAA